GGTGAAAGTGTTTGGAAAGGGCATGTTAGGGGAGTTAAAGGGCATGTTAGGCACGGGAACGGTGTTAGGGGGGCCATTGAAGTGTTTGGGTTTGATGATTCTCTACGTTTTAACTTGGCTTTTCTAGAGGAGGAGGAAGTGTTCGGGTTTGATGCCATGATATTTAATAATAATAACAACAACAATAATAATACAAATAACAATAACAAATTAACAATAACAATAATAATAACAATTAACAACAATAATAATAACAATAGCAATAAGAATTAGTAAGTAGTTTTTATACAAATTAAGTTTTCAAAAATAAATATAATAATAGTATATTACTTAGGTCAATGAGATCCCATGTAGGAGAGGTTAGGAACAACGTTGTCCAGATCCCAAGTCCCGCCTTATACAGATTTCACTAACAATCTAAATTATCCACAATAAAAATAGAAAATAGTTTTTATATAATTAAGTTGTTCCAAGAAAACAATAATAACAATAACAATAACAAATTAAAATAAAGTTGAGTTAGATCTTACAATGACGCTTCAATGCTTTCCCATATTTATAATTTCCCGAACTTATAATTTCTCGAATGTAAATATAACAATTTTTTTTTTTGTAGTAGTAGACTAATAAAAGTAATAATAGTAAAAATGTAAAATTTATAAGAGAGTAGGAATTTTTTTTTTCTTTTCACAAAAGAGAGTAAGATTGTAGCCTTTGTAGGAATTAAAGAGTAAGAAAATTAGAGAATAAGAGAGAAGAGATGAGTTGATGAATTGTGAAAATTTTGGAGGAATAAATGGGGTATTTATAGGGAATTTGGGATTGCCAAAAACTAGCCGTTATTATAGCCGTTGGAAAACAGCTCTAAAATGGCTAGTTTCCAACGGCTATGACACGGGCCGGGCCGTGCCTGGCAGGCCTCGTGTCGTGTCGTGCCGTGCCCGGCCTTGCCTCGTGTCGTGTCGGCGTGCCGGCCCACGTGTCAACCACCGTGCCGCCCGCCGTGCCCGTACCAAAATCCAAAATTTTGTTCACGGCCCACAAGTGGGCCTCCGTGTCGGGTCGGGCCAGGCCGGAATCGTGTCGGGCCCGTGCCGGCACGACCCGTGCTCATCTTTACCTATGGTAGTCTAAAGCTAGAAATAGCATGAATGAATACTAACAGAAACAATTTTTGTAAGGTCTATAATATCAAATTAACCCCCAACTAATGGCATATTCTCTTACGTTGAAATTCAGTTCATTTCAGTTCAGTTCAATTCAGTTCAGTTCAGTTCAGTTCAGCTCAGTTCAGCTCCTAATTTCCTTCTCTTATAAAATATTCATTTCAGTTCAGTTCAGTTCATCTCAGTTCAGTTCAACTCAGTTCTGTTCAGTTTAGCTCATTTCAGTTCAGTTCAGTTCAGTTCAGCTGAGTTCAGTCAATGAGAACATGCCCTAAGTAACTAACCCCTGTCCAACCAAAAAACCTTCCTCCAATCTCTCAATAACCCCCAATCAACTGATGTGCCCCCATTCCTTAACCATGGTTTTATTGGGAAATTCCCGATTTTTGTAAAAAAAAAAGGTCACTTTTGAGGAAAAAAAAAAGTCACTTTTGTGAAAAAAAAAGGGTCACTTTTGTGGAAAAAATGGTCACTTTTGTGGAAAAAAGGTCACTTTTGTTAAAAAAAAAAAAAGGGTCACTTTTGTGAAAATATGGGTTACTTTTGCAAAAAAAAAAAAGGGTCACTTTTGTAAGAAAAAATGGTCGCTTTTCGCAAAATGTTCGATGTACAATAAAATTATTGTAAATTGGGGGCATGCAAAAGTTTTTGCAAAAACTTACCCGACCCGAAAGGTTTACTTGAAACCAAACTGCTTTCGAACTGGTTGGACCCGGGTATTTTTTATCCGAATCTGATCTGGAGTCGACTTGACGTTATCTCAAAACCGACTCCACCTGGTAATTTATGATCCAAACCCAATTTGAAATCGACTCATATTTAAACCGAAACCAATACGACCCGATAATATAAGATCTGAATTCAATCTAAGCTAGCCGAAATGAAATCACCTAAAACCATTTAAGCCCGAAAAAATACCACTTTTTACCCGGCCTTTAATTTTCCGATTTGAAACTTCCCATGACCCAATTAAAACCGACCCAAAATTACTCGTAATTCAATTAAACCCAACTTTTTTCTAAACATAACTTTTTGTTCTATCTTGAAATCAAATTCTTTACCACTCTACATTCGTGGTAGAGAATGGTTGATGGCTCAACCTTGGAATCATATATCCTTACATTTGAGTTACGTTGTTTGATGAAGTCTTTCTAGAGTCAACATTCAAGTTGTGAATTGTAGAATTTGTAGAGAGAACAAAGAAGGGAGTCATAGAAAGGAATGATAATGAATTAATTGATACGGAGTCCTATAATAAAATGGTAAAAAAAAATAATAATAAATGAATGAATAGTAACGATTGAGATACCACAAAAGTAAGGCAAAGCAATAAGAATATGTTTTAATCGAGTCAACATTATAGGAACAGTACATTGATCGATATATTAGTGAATTAATCCATGATTTTAGCAATCTAAAGTAAAAAAATCCTATATTATCATTATATACCATAAAACATACTTCCAAAAATGTATAAAATTTGAAATTTATAATATAAATATGTATATATGATATATTAATGTGATTAGGTGTGTTATATACACCTGATTTTGATGAATATGTATTTATTTCAGCTTAATTGAACTTCTAAATTTATATAAAACAATTCTAAATTTATTTTAATTTATATAAACATATCTAAATTTTTCTAAACTCATATTCCGTATCAATTTGAAACTATCTGAATTTATTGAAGTTAGCTGAAATTATTTGAATTTATAAGAAAATATCATAATTATATGAAATAATCTGAACATATATTAATTTATCTTAATGTATATGAAAATATTCGAACTTATCTGAATTTATTTAAACTAAGGTGAATTTATCTGAACTAATATGGATTTGTATAAACTTATCTAAAATTATATGATATTATTGATCTGAACTTAGGGCCTGTTCACTTCAGATTAATTTCAGTTCAGTTCAATTCAGCTCCAATCGGTTTAGTTCAGCTCTAATCAGTTCCGTTCAGTTCAGTTCAGTTCATTTCAATTCAGCTCCTAATTTCCCAAATTCAAATTATTGGACCCAAAACCGAAACTAAATTATTATAACTGAGAATGAGCTAATAATTGAAGCAACCACATTCAAAATTTAACCGGAACTGAAGTGATTTTAACCAAGATCTAATCGAATTCGAAAAGACCCGATCCAAAGTCAAATAAATTCAATTTGACCCAATAAATAAACCCAATAAAATTCGGATCCGAGTTCATCTTAACTCAATATGACTCGACCCAATTCGATTTGTATCCGACCATACTTGAACTCAACTTTAACCCGAATCTGATGAAGCTCAACCGAATTTGATTTGGTTTGTAAGATTAAAATGACCCATCATTACCCGACCCAAACGTCCCGACCCGTCGTGGGTCAACCCAAACTCTATCTAGGTACCCGATTTGACACCTCTATAAATCACGAAAAAACTATCAAAGGAATGTGCGTCATCAATGGTGTACAATTCCAAACAACAACCAAAAAAACAGGGAAGAAGTACATAGAATGATAAAATAATGATTTCACCTAAAACATAGGCCCTATTTGATTCACCTTAATTTTGCTGAACTGAAATTATTTTTACTGAATTGGACTTATTTTTACTGAACTGGACTTAATTTTACTGAACTGAAATTATTTTTACTGATTTTCTATTATAATTCTTCTTTAAGAAAAATGAATTTTACTGAACTGAACTTATTTTTACTGAACTGAAATTATTTTTACTGAACTAAAATTAATTTTACTAAACTGAACTTATTTTTACTGAACTAAAATTATTTTTACTTAATATTTAAGGTGAAGAGAACAGGGCCATAGTTAAAACAAAATTACTCATAGTCACAGTTGGAGGAAAAAATAATACAAATAAGGTAGAGGCAATACTAGAGGAAGTGCTGGGAGAGGAAGTTATAATGCATTAGATTTATCCACAACTAATTTTACATATAACATACTTTTTCACCATTTTAGTAGTACTATTGGTAGGTGTTCAATACTAGTGGAAGCACGAAAAGTACTATTGAAAATGTTTAGTAGTACTTTTTTTACCTCTTCTTAGTACTTTTAATTTGTTACTTCTTCAGGTTTTTTTTAGTTGACACATTTTTATTATCATGTTTGCCAACACATGTTTTTAACGATTAATTTCTCAAATTATTAACATTATAAATTATAAAAAGTGGATATTAATAAAATATACATTGAAATGATTCAAACAAAACCCCACATGAATATGTTTTATCATATCTATAAACCACAAAAGCGAGTCAAGCATGTTGTGTGAATAGTGTAAAAGTCAAACGGTGTCAACTAAAAAAACAAATGAATCATTATTAACAAATTTGCCACTAATATGTATTTGATTGTGTAAAAATGTTATGCCTTTGAATTCCCTCGTGCCGAGGAAGATGAGAGCCACAAAAGACAACAAATCCCTATGTGTTTTAATAAGTGTTACACGTACTAAATCCGACCGTGTTTTAATAAGTGTTACGCTTCCTTTTTTGGCAAAACGTTACATTAAAATATTAGGACGTTTTACCAAATTGAGCTTTAAACGGAAACTATTTACGAAAATGGTTGCGTGGCAAAACTATTTACCAAACTAAGCTTCTAGCATAAAACGCTGTCCGAGACAGCGTTTTATGCTCTGGTATTTTTTAAAAAAAATTATTAACAATTGTATGTTGAACATAAAACGCTGTCTTAGACAGCGCTTTATGTACTACATACAACGCTTTACCTTCTGTATTTTTTTAAATTCAGTAGGGCATAAAACGCTGTCTCGGACATCGTTTTATCCTTGGGTTTTTTTAAAAAAAAATTCAATGGGTAAAACGCTGTCCGAGACAGCGTTTTATTCCCTGTTTTTTTTTTTAAATGAAACGCTGTCCGGGACAGCGTTTCATGGCCATATATCAGCATGTTCACTTCAGCAGAATGCGCAAGAACTCAACCTCAACCTCAACGCTTTCCCTCCTCCCTCTCACACTAAACCACGACCGTACTCAAACACCCGCATTGCCGCCGCCGCCCACCCTTGCGCCACCGCTGCTGCCGCCACCTTGCTGCTGCCCTCCTCCCTCTCACACTCACTCACTCAATTTCGTGGTTAGCCCTAAACTGAATTTAGTGTAATTGCATAGTTATTGTGGTTAATTATTGTGAATTGTATGTAATTGCTCTTACTTGTTGTTAATTCATGTCAATTGCCTGTAATTGTTGCTAATTATTAATGAAAATGGGGTACATTGTTGATAATTATTGATGGTGATGTGGTACATTGTTATTGAAATTGTTCATGACATTGGTGAAGTTGATGATGGTGAAAATGTTGAAGTTGTTAATGGTTGAAATTGGTGAGAAGAGATGAAATTGTTGAAATTATTGAAATAGTTTAGGTTGAAATTGTTGAAATAATTCAAATTGTTCATGAAATTGTTGAAATTGGTGAAGTTGTTGAAAGTGAAGTTGTTATAGGTGAGAAGAGTCTTATTTCAGTGTTGATAATTTACCTCGCTCTAGATTTCGATAATCCTAAAATGTGTTTTGGTTATGTAGAATATGGCGTCACAAAATGTAGTTTTGTTATGCCGGTGGGGAGGAGAAATTCTGTTTGATGGACCCCGGGTCGAGTATAGTGGGGGAAATATGGAACCACTAACACTAGAACCGAACATGACTATGAATGATTTGATAACATTTGGAACATTTGATCGTTAACATTTTGGCTAATTGCTAATGCGTTAACTCTGTTGGGATTTGTTAAATTGCATGTGAACAGATACGATGGACGGTGAAGATCGTACGCCTGGACCCGTTGACCCTTCTGTGCTTACACTACAGGGCACACACCGCAGCGTTGCCGTATGGGATCAGACGGTAATATTGCATTTGTTTGTTCATGGACTACAGCTTGTTGAGTTTATATGGTATATGATCTTAATTTCTTTCTAACAGGTTGATCCGGCAAAGCAGCTCGTTTGCAGGCATTACACCACCAGGTTCATGGTGGGGTGGGGAATCGATCCTCGCGTTTTGGCGTACGTCGAGTTTGTCGGTTTAGGTGGTTTTCACCGTATGGCGTATAGGGAGATCGATCGAGCGCTTGTCACTGCGCTCGCGGAGAGGTGGAGACAGGAGACGCACTCCTTCCACCTACCTGTTGGTGAGACGACCGTTACGTTACGGGACATGGCGATTCTTACGCGCCTTCCAGTACATGGGTCTGCGGTGACAGGACACGCGTTAGTCGATCCCGTCGGTTTGGTTGGTCGGGTACTTGGTGTCCAGCCAGGTCCCGCCGATATTAGGGGATCCGGGTTGAGGACCGGCTGGGTCCGTGAGACTTTCCGTGAGCTACCACCAGGGGCTGATGACGCCCAGGTTCAGAGATACGCCCGGGCGTACTTGTTCTTCCTCATCTCGGGCGTGTTGTTCGGGAATAAGAGCGGGAGCCATCTCCAGCTCATTTACATGCAGCTGTTGGACCACGACTGGGATCATATCCGAGGCTACAGCTGGGGTAGCGCCTGTCTGGCGACGTTGTATCGCCAGCTGTGCAGAGCATCCCACGTAGGTGCTAACGAGATTGGAGGTCCCCTGATTGTCCTCCAGGTACCTCACTTATTTCTGTACCAAAAAAACTATTTCACCACGCACTTACATATTTCATACTGAAGCTAGTTTTGTGTCTCTGTGTGCCAGTTCTGGGCTTGGGAGCATATCCATGTAGGCAGACCAGGCAGACCTGCGATACACCGTCGGGGGGAGCAGGACCAGGACGACCAGTACCAGGCGTACGATGCTCCCCCGCTCCCTACACAGTTTTAGCTTTTTTGTTTTAACATTGTACTTGTTGCGAACTAACATATTCATAATATTACTGTTGATGTGTATTTACAGGTGACATGGGACCCGTATGTACCTGACTTGGTAGATGCCATGCCTCCACATCTGCTAGACCATCAGGCGGAGTGGCGTGCTAGGGTCCCCCTGATCTGTTTCGAGGTTGTGGAGAGTCACCTGCCCGACCGAGTCATGAGGCAGTTTGGACTACGCCAGACTATCCCACAGGGGTGTGACACTAGTGTACAGCTTCACGGCATTGATCGTCGGGGAAAGGGGGAGACCAGCTGGGCGCTGGAGCATTGGCGTTTCCTTCAGCTATGGGAGCAACGGTTGGAGTTCATCGTTGGAGGTGATCTAATGCAGGGGGCTATGGATCCCGACGATCCGTACATGGTGTGGTACAGGCGTATCACACGACGCTTCATCAACCCCAGCTACGCACCACCATCCACACATTACCATCCAGCATATGACATCATTAGCGGATATGTGAGTTATTATTTTTCTACTCCTTTTCAACAATTTCCATATTTGTATGCCATAGATCTGACTGATCGATGATTACTGCAGGCGGCGGATATGGTGGCGATGGTTGATGCGCTATCAGTCTCCCTTGAGTGCGGACCCACTAGAGCCCAGGTCGAGCAGGTGCGAGATATGGGCGTCGCTACCTTACGGAGATATGGTCACGCTCATCTCGCCCACCGGCGGGACGGTCATGATGGCAACTCACAGTTCGATCTCGGCCAGAGCAGCGGTGGATGTGATCCTACGTCACCCAGACACGCAGAGGATTACAACATCCACAGTACTGCGCCCTCTGGTACCCAGGAGGACCCCTCGTCCAGTCAGCTGACTCCCCCACCGCCCCGAGACCCATTCACCACCGTCACTCATTACAGGCGGCGACGTGTCAGACGGAGGGCCGACACTCAGGAGGCAGGACCTTTACCCCGAATAAATGAGTCGGGCTAGTATTATCTGTTGTATTCCCTGTTATTTTGTGTAATGATGTACATAACACTTATGAAATTAATATAATAAATCTTTTTTGAATGACTCCGTGTGTGCTTTGAAGTTAATTTGGTGGTTGGACTGTTGTTGGGCTGTTTCGAGTTTTCTGCAGTGCTTAAAGTTGACGGAACTCCCAGAATATGGTGGTGGTACGTGGTGGGGAGTGGCGGAGTTGGTGGTCGACGGTGGTGGGGTAGGGCTGTGGAGCTGGCTGTTGTGGTGGCTGTTGGAGGACTGCAGCATGCAAGCTGTTTGCTGAAGCTTGTTTTCTGCCTGGATGCTGGTTGCTGTTTCCAGCAGAAAAGCGCTGTCTGAGACAGCGCTTTATGTTCAAGCATAAAGCGCTGTCTGAGACAGCGTTTTATGTTCAAGCATAAAGCGCTGTCTGAGACAGCGCTTTATGTTCAAGCATAAAGCGCTGTCTGAGACAGAGCTTTATGTTGAACATATAAAATAGTTGTAGTTGAATTTTTTTTTAAAAAAAAAACCAGGGGTAAAACGCTGTCCGAGACAGCGTTTTATGCTGGAAGCTTAGTTTGGTAAATAGTTTTGCCACGCAACCATTTTCGTAAATAGTTTCCGTTTAAAGCTCAATTTGGTAAAACGTCCAAAATATTATGTCTCTCTCCTCTCAAGGTCCCTACCTAACCCTACTACTACTTTTTTATTATATATTTTCTTTCACATTCATTATATTTTAATAAACTATATTTGTTTTACAATTTTTTAATACTCTAATTACCCCACTTACCTTTTACTTTATATAAGTCAATTAAATTGCCTAAAATTATATATCGGTCAAACTGTAACACTTATTAAAATATTGAGGGAGTATCGATGAAACTCGATTCAAATTTAAAGTACCCAAAAGTAGTTGACAGCTTGACATGCTCTTCAGTAGGCATTGATCAAGCATACTTGAGTTATTAGCTGAGTTTGATTCACATAAATTACAAGTTAGTAGGAAATTTAATACCATACGCCTCTGGCATCATACAATCCTTTTTATATCCACTAGTTGTGCCATCGCGCGCGATAGTTCAATAGATTAATATTTAAGCATCGGTAATATAGTAGCGTAAGTAAATGTGTAATAATACTTATTGTTGTATTTATCGTTAAGGAGTAGAAACAATTGTTATTGTTTTGTTAATTAATTATAATTTGATGTTTGTCAAAAATGTAAGAATAATTAAGCATTTTATAATTAAGTATAGAAATATTATTCATATTGTCTATAAGTATATTAATATTGTATAAAATTACCTCACGTTTTTAAAAATTACTCACCCCTAAAGTATTTACTTATCCTTATAGAATTTATTAAATCCTAGAAATCATACACACACCTTTAAGTAGTTTTCTCACCCCCTAAATGTCATTATAGTTTGCCTGCCTCTAAAAATCATATACAAATTACCCTTAAATAATTTGTTCACCCCCAAAGAATTTTCTCACTCTAAAAATCATATTCAAATTACATTACCCTAAAATAGTTTGCTCACCTCCGTATAGTTTGCTCATGCCTAAATAATTTGCTCACCCTTTAAAAATTGTATACATCATTGAAGGCTGCATCTTGTACAACATATTCTTTGTGGAAATAAAAGCTACCTTTGATTAATTATAAAAAGCACTATCCTCTGTTACACCCATCACAACTCATCTTGCTTAATTGGTTCTGATTTCACATCTAAGATCGAGCAACATTCGTATGGTCGGTATCCTTCACTGGCTTTAAATCCTCGACCAACATGATTATTAACCTGCGGCATCAAATAAAATAAGTAAATAAACACCACCGCTTTCCTGCCAAACATATTGAAAAATTTGAATTCAATGAAAATAAACACATTACCATGTATGTATAAGCTAATAAGAAAAGCAGAATACAGGAAAACTCCAATGCAATACTTACCTGCAAATCCTAGACAATCCAAACTCAAACATGAGAACAAGAAATAAATACGCAAAATACAACAACATATCATTTACTAGAAAATCCTACAAAGCACATGTGATATATACAATAACCACAATTGATTTTACAACTGAAATCCATCATACATACTAATCACTCCAAAATGTGTGAAAACATTCAACAATAATAAGATTAATAAACAAGCAATTCAACAAAAATAGAAAGGGGGAAAACATCCAACAATGTCTAAGTAATCTAAAAAAAGGAAAATTAATTAAATTGTCTTAGATAATAATTATATCAAATTTTAGGGTATGGTATCGACTGTATTGAGTAGCAAAAAGAGTTATAGAGCTCAAGTAAAAGAATAGTGTACTAATTAGAGTAAAATTACACTAAACAATTTTTCATCCTTGTTCCTTCCTTCAAACCCATTGCAATTTTATCTTCTTTATTTCATATATCATTTTTTTTCCTCTCTATTTCCTTCCTCCATAGCATCTAAGTCTCTTCAACAATTAAACGCTTAGAATGGTCTCTTAAATTGTTTCTCACCTCTCTCTCCATCTCTCTTTCCCACTATTTTTTAATGTCTTTGAAAATTATAGGTCAAACTTGTTCCCATATCACTCGGTCATTATTTCATTCCTTTAAAAGCCCATGGCCCATACTCTTTCTCTTAGTCTTTTTCTTTCTTTCTAATCCATTGTCCCTATTCTATCCTATAAAAGACATTGAAAATTATAGGTTATACTTGCTTCCTTTTCCCCCAAGCCCTCTTCCCCCTCTTCTCCCTAACCCCCTTTATTTTGCTCAACTTCTCTAACTTCTCCTCTCTATCCGCCTCTTTATTCCGGCCTCTCTATCCCTTTCTCTCTCCCCAACCTATCTCTCTCTCCTAGCCCCACTTTCCCTTATTGTTCTAATTCTATCTCTTTTGACCCTAGTGCTCTGTCGTAGCCTTGCTTCTCATTCTCCCTTTATTTCACTCGCTCTTTCTCCCAACTCCTCTTTCTTGCTATCTCTCTCTCTTCTTCCGGCTCCTTACTCCTAACCCCTTTTTCTCACCCTCTATCTCTCTCCCTACCTCTTTTTCTTTCTCTCTCTCCTGACCCCTTTCTTCTCACGGTGTGCCCTTACTCTTCTCTCCTAGCCTGCCCTATATTCCCTTTTTTTCCTCCCTCTCTCTCCTTTTTTCTACCTCTCCCTCTCCCTCTCCACACTTGCTTCCTTTTCCCCCAAGCCCTCTTACCCCCCTTTTCTCCCTAACCCCCTTTATTTTTCTCAACTTCTCTAACTTCTCTTCTCTCTATCTGCGTCTTTATTCCGACCACTCTATCCTTTTCTCTCTCGAGCCTTCCCTCTCTCTCTTCCCCGACCTATCTCTCTCTCATAGCCCCACTTTCCCTTATTGTTTTATTTGTATCTCTTTTGACCCTTATTGCTCTCTCGTGGCCTTGTTTCTCATTCTCTCATTCTCTCTTTCACTCGCTCTTTCGCCCTATCTCTCTCTCCTAGCCCCACTCTCATTCTCGCTACCTTTCTATACAAATGTTCAAAAGTGTTGCAACAAATTTATCCCAAAATTTGTCACTAAAGATAATTCTTCATGTTCATTTTTTTTATTATGTGATGAGTAGATGACTCTAGTCTATAAGCACACATTCTCCACTTGTCTGCCAATATTTTATCAAGGCAAAACAACTTTGGAAGTTGATTCAGTATAAATATAAAATAATTTACCTAAAAAATTGAATTTGTATCTTCTCGAGATCATCTCAAAGTTCTTCATTTCCAGTGAGCTTCTCTCAGATTTAGCCTTAACAATCCCCTGACCTACAGATGTTGGATCTGTCGACAAATTACTTGACCTTCCTCTGTAAAAGCAATAAGATGTTTAGTAACCAACAACCCTAACTTCTACCACAACATTATTCATGAGAAGAGGACCATAATTTAAAATTAATATTTTTAACTTCTGTTTATAACTTGCGTTTCTTAATTACACTCAAAACTTGTTATACAAGTTCCAAATTCAAGATACACTCCAAATCCAAAACCCCAAATTTGTATAGTTCATGACTTTCCTAAATTTGCTATCTATGCCTCTAATGTATACCAAATTGTAGGGAAAGAAAAAACAAAAAAATTGTACCTTTATTGAGTGAACAGAAGGCTACGATTCTCCATAGCTATTCCAATCCACCCCTCTGATTTGAACACATTTATCTGACCTAACAAAAGATCGCAAAGCGAGATACCCAACATCAAAAACAAACATATAAATAACCAACATCAGCGTAAAAAGAATTAAATAGCATTATTTTATGTAGAAAGATACAAGGATATAATAATCTACCTTTAATTAAATGCATAAGGATTATCTCCATCAGCATATGGATTCAGAGACCCTTCGGAAAATATTTCACCGATATTGATAGGCTGAGAGTAACCCACTGCCCTAACTCTCTGCATTAAGAGACTATGTCATCAATTATTTTGTCCTCTAATTTATTGGGGACTTACAAAAGCAGCAACCAAGCATATTAAAACAACAGTCCAAACCACGAGTAGAAAAAGCAATCAACGGTGTAGGACAATTTATGAACCTAAGCGAGATAAAAGAACTCATCTCTAATTATTCCGATAAAATACTCAGCATATATGGCACAGCCTAAAGAAACAACCAGAACAAGTGCAAATGATAGCTTTCATTACCGGATAAAACTAATCAGATTTATCAAAATTATCAGTGGTAATCAAAGCATAGGATGCCATCATTTGTGTTTCAACTTTTACAATTACTTAGCTTCTATGTTAAGTGATGGGTTACCAAAGAGGGGAAAACCCTACATGGTGAGAACCGAGATTTTTTTTAATGCCTCTAAATTCTATCAATTTGGTATTGAAATCCGGATTGCAATTTTTAGTACTAAGCAACGGCAGATATATTTCCTTCAAAATTCTTAGGTTTATAGATAACACATAGTTACACATAGATTACCTATATTACAGAACGGTGACACTCTACAGCTGGCTCATATCTCACTCTCTCCCTACTTATCAGCAATGTCAAAAACAGTATGATCAACACATTAAAAAATCTTTCTAAATAATCCCATCATCATCAACTAAAACCCCCTTTGAGCCAGGCCAAAAACATTATGACCAACTCATTAACAGCACTTTATAAAATTATCATTTACAGCATGAAACATGAACACTCCTTAAATGTAATTGAATAAAAGAAGGGAGAAAACAATTACTTGAGAAGATCGACATTGTATAGATCTTCGCCATCTTCCTCATCAACATTTATACTGTAGATACAATATAAAGGTAGTACTCTGACAGAAAATTCTGAAATTTTGTACATACCAGTATATATTCCTGGGATTTCGGGTCCTCCAAATTTAAATCCTTGCTGGAATTGGCTTCTCTTCGAGGATTCAGCTTCCTCAGTTGCCTCTTTGTAACACAAACTCATTAGGCGCGAGAATTGTCCCCTGGGCTGCATATGTTGATATAAGAGACATTCCTACAAAATCAACAACAAAAGTTGATCAATTTCATTTTCCCAAAAATTCAATTGAAAATACAGCAAACTTCTTTTCATTATTTTTATATAATTAATTAACTTACCAAAGAAAAAAAATCACATGTTGTGTTATCCCACAAAATCTCATGTCTCCCCCCCCCTGGCAGCCCTATTCTCATAATATTCCTCACAGTAATTTTACTTTCACTACTCTCTCATGAAACTACCATATTGGAGTACTATTTTTACTTCACGCGAAACAAATAATGTAATTCACTCTACATAAGCAGATAAGATACTACATTCTCCTAAATTGCTATGATCGCTTAAACATACCATGGTAGACACCTAAACTTCTTCTCATTCATCAACATGATTGCATAAATGAAACTTGTATCATGTGAAAGAATGATCAATGTACATTTCACCAATACAGTTTTTACGCAAACATCACTCGATTTTGCTTATGATTTTTTACTGCAAATTTCCAAGAGCTGAAATTTCATTGATCTTAAGACCCGATATCACTCGATTTTGCTTATGAATCACTATCTTCTACTTCCTAAATTCCTATTACCATTGTTAGACCTAGAACCAATGTTAGGTTCTTGAAAATTAATACTCCCTCTCATCACACAGTTCTCGGACCTATTTGATCTGCTACATTATCAACAAAACATGAAAATTTTATAAAAATAAAAAACAATGTCTTGCAAAAAATTTTTGAAAACATCAATTTGCAACAAACACAGTTTCTATTACTCCCCTTAATCACATTAAATCATGATATATACCCTTTCACAAGTCACACCATGAAAATCACTCATTTACTTATACTACCTCCGTTACAGATTATGTGCAACGATTAGACATTTTCTCTCTCTACTTTATGTCAAATCGTTGCACATAACCTATAACGGAGGTAGAATTAGATTTAATATTCAAGCTAGCAACTTTCGTGTCTCACATTGTTGAATAGTATATTGATTTATGATTTATGATTTGTTTTTCTTCTTTCTTTGAGATGAACCATGCATTCACTTTTGCTCCCCACTAAATATAAGGTTCATCTGATGCGATCACATTCAATAATACATCAGCATAGCCAAATTAATATTCAACCAAGAAAATCAATCAAAAATGAGATATTAGTGACAAAAATTACAGTAACTTAAACGTAGAAGAGAGAGAAAACAGACAGAGTGGTAAGAGTACTGACCCATCCTATTCAAAGGGACGGTGTTGCCGACAGAAAGAGTAACCATTGATAGCAATATTACTGAGATTGCAGCAAAGAAAAAATCAAAATAATTGCATAAACCTCTTGAGGAGGAGCATATTTAGTCTGATATTCGACTTTAGTGCGAGGTAATCGAATATTCGACTTTAGTGCGAAATTGAAGTAATTCTATCCCCCATTCTACACTGTCAATTAAATAGTCGTAAAATTAAACCAAATCCTAGATTGTCAAATTGATATTCCATGATTATATATATATAAAGAAATTAAAAAACGCTAAATATCATACCTTAGCTTCAATGTAAAACTTGGAATACGCTTCAATGGAGAAGAAACCAACCCTAATATTCTGAAAGTATGTGTTTTTGGGTTTAGTCTCTACAGAGACTGGAAAAAATGGAGTGCAGAGTGGAGAGTAAAGAGAGATAAAATGAAGTGAGAAAGGAGAGATGGAGTGATAGTGAGAAAGGGTTCAAAGGAGAGAGAAAGCAAATGGAAGATTTGAATGGTGGAGCATGAAAAGGGGAAAAAGCAGGACTGAAATCTAGCCTGAAAGGCAATTTCGAATATTGAAAATAGCTCGAGGGTATAAACGGAAGCACACTATACAGTGGGGGATAAAAGTATTTTAACAAAGACACAAGGGTAAAAGCGTCATTACACTATTAATTTGGAATAGTAACACTTGTTGTGGCTTTTGAAAGGGTTATAGATATGGAACCACCAAAAATTTTATAAGCTTCATATTTCAGCAATAAGCCTATGATGCAAGGGGAGGAAGACAAACATAGTATACATTACAAACACTCATAGTATTTTTGATAGAAAAAATTATATCAGCTACAGCCTACAGATCACCGTCATATGAACAAGTAATGGAAAACCATCTTTGCTGCTAACCTTAAGCACAATCATGAACCTGAAACAATAGGGATGACTCGAAGTTGAGATATCAACTCTTAAAAGTCCCAACTTTAAGAATTAAGAAATCCTTTCCACCAGAAATCCTATAAGTAGGAAAGAGTGCGTATACAAGTCCTAAGTGTATTATAAAAACTCAAACTCATTCTCTATATAACTCGCTTCAATATATGATAGCTTATCCCGGTGCTGAAAACAAAACAAAATGCACTTATGCACACCCATTCTGATGTCATTGAGAGATGCAAATGATCAGAATACCCCCTGATGTTTACTACATAAAATATTTTACTGTTGTCAGAATAGATTTAATCACAGCTTATTCATTTACTACAAGTCATCAGTAGCAAATACAATAACCAAAACCTAAAATAATAAAAGCAGACAAAATAATATAACCAAATCTTGAGAGAAATTATAAATGTGTTATTGCTCTTGCAAAACGAGATGACTATCTGTTACAGCAGTAGGACCTAATAACCGTAACAAAATCTGCACACACATTTCCTGTTGCAAGAGCGCAAAACAAACATGAACATTAGCCTAGGGAAATGAAGGAACAGGTACAAAACTATGGAATTAAAGATTTCAAAACTTGACAGTGGTACCAAGTGGATTAAACCATCAAAACTACCAGATGGTATGGTGTATGTAAGGTAAACAAACCAAATAGTACTCCAGTAACATTTACCAACCCTAGCAACTACCAAATAACAAACAAAACCAAAAATTACCCATTAGAAAATCTTATGAGCCAATTACAAACCTATCACATGCCTACAACACCTGCGAAGAAAGGTTTAAAGTGGACATTATCAGGATAAGAACTACTAGACATATCTTGTTAACCATTCTGGCGTTGCTGACTCCAATAACAGCCACATGCTTCACAACACAAGCAAATCACAAACAAAACCAGAGTTGAGAAAAAAGAAATTAACATCACTTGCCCAAAAAGAGAAAAGAAAATAACATGAAGCTAAAATAAATTCACTCAGAAATTGAAATTTATTATCAAACAAAATTTCTTAACCCCACATTGCCACACTGGGCCTTACATAAAACACTGCTTACTCAGAAGTATCACTAGAAACCATCATTGTAAAGAAGGTTGGAAATAGTACGACCGGCACACGAAACCCTGGAGATGATATCTACAACAAATCAGCAACAGCATAATTAACCCCGAATCAGCAAAATGACATATATGACAACTATGAGGCAAAAAATCCGGTTGCCCCCTACATCTTTCACCTAGCACCAAAGACACGGAGTTAAATAAATGTAAAATAAATAAATTAACAAAAAGTGGCTTCTAAACTGGTTAATAACCAATTAGCCATTGACAACATCCCAAGGCATGCTTTGTGTAGCTATATTTTGAGTAAATGAACTGGAGCCTGACTACTGCTACTTAAAATTTTGAGTAAGTGCAGATTTTATTGGCAAAGCAAATCTTCTGATGGAAAGAAAAGGCTCTATCAGATAAGAGGTTCCAAGAATTGACTGTGGTCTTAAGTGTTCCACAACATTAAAACTACAAATTATTGTTTTCAGCAAACAAAGAAAATCAAAAAGCTCTACACCCTGAGTTAAATTACAGCAACTACCATGCCATGAATTGCCAAAAACAATTACAGGAAGACAAAAGCTATCACATCAAAAATCAGCCTATTGATCGCATCTAACAGAAAAATATAGAATGTCAATTCCAAGGAGAAGGCTAACAGGAAAAGAATAATGACATCCTTGCACCACCACCTCAGCTATAGTAAAATGTTACACAACTCAAGCTAATTACACTCAAGAAAAGATGATATAAAAAAAGATGTAGACAAAAATAAATGGCAAAAATTATAGGATATAATTACACATATCAAATTATCAGCATACAAGAATTCCTAAAGTAACTCAAGCCTTGGAGAAGAAATCCAAAACGATATGACTTGAAAAGATGGAGTTCAAATATTTTAATCTCCGGCTAAATCACAAACAAGCAATCCCAGATATCGAAAAAATCACACAAGGATCAGCTTCAATTGTCTGATACCACCCTTAAAAGCACAAACACTCATTTCTAGAGAGTTCTATGACTACACATGAGAGAAAGGAAAGAAACAGCAGCATACTCAAAAAAAAAAACACCCAGTAGGAAGGCTGGAGTTGACAAATAATGTTGGCAGGGGGAGTTGATACGGATTGTAACAAAATGAATAAGCAGTTAAACAAAACTGAACTCAGTATTTATAAAATCTAGAGTTCATGTATTCTACATATTTTTCAATAAATTTGACTGAACTACTGAAGCTGAACAAAGATAAATAGAATTATAGAAAAATAAATAAGTTACACTACCAGCTATTGAATTTCTACATCTGAACAATTACTATACAACTACACATCAGATGTGATTCCTCAACAAGTACACAAAATCTCAGCTAACTATTTGCATGCTCGACCAGACTATTCTAATACATCAGATGCGATTTTTCAACCAGTACACAAAAACTCGCTACTTTATACACTCATGCCCCTTCTGAGCAATCACAGCAGTAACCAAACCAATACACTTGATCCTAAGTATCAAAGGTGATGTGAACAGACCAATGCAAGAGCCAACCATACACAATCGCATAGCATCCCTTCGCCACAAAAAGACACAATGTTAATCAGAGGGGGGTCAATATTAGATCTTCAAAGGAAAAATATATGAGAAACTTCCCCTATACACCAGATCTTTTTGTCCCGATAATGTATCCACAGGCACAGATAACATCAAAAGCAAGAGTCACTGCAATAGACATAATGGTACAAATGTAATAAAGATGACAATGCACCGACTTGCCAACAAAAAGGCATCAAGTAAAATCATGAAAAAAAACACTGCCAAAAACATATCCCCATTAAAAACTCCATGTGAGAGTACAATCGCTGAGAGAATAACTCCATACTCGTGGGAGATAGAATGCAGCTCCATCTTTAAAAACAGTAAATCTTAATACCATCAATCTGCTATATCAACATACACAACATACACAAAGCATCAACACTGTATCAATAATTCTGTATCATCCAGGAAAAGAAAAAACAAATCGCCACTTTTACGTCCCAAAACCACCAGTCACGTGTGAACCTACCACAACTTCAGCAAAACCTCACATATCTTCAGTAAAACCATAAGACAGCATACATCCACAAACAAATCAGCTGACATCAGCTGGAAGAAGATAGTGTTGACAGAAACTGAACCAAAGCAGCTAGTAAATACAATATGCCAAACATGAGCTGAGAGGGTAAAGATTAACCTGAAGCACAGGGGAAAATCTAGAGATTGACTAGACAATCAAATTTAAGCACGTTTTGAGCACATTTTCACATTAGATTAAAATTCCAAAAAAAAAAATAAAGGATAGTATGGATGAACTCCCTGTAAAGTCATCAGAAAACTTCTAGAGTATATCTTGTACACAAGATGAGAAGAGCATGTACAGTCCCATAACCTCCTAGCCAAAACAAGAGAAGAAATCAAATGAAGAAAAGAAGACAATGGTATCACAGCACAAACGTACAAAGCCTGGTCAAGGTCACATATATTACAACTAACAAGAATAGAGGTGTAAATGTCCCACTCTATTAACAAGAAGTCCAATAATTTGACAGCAAAAAATTACAAAGCCTGTTCAAGGTCGCATACCTTATAACTAACTAACTGCAGAGGTGTACAATGTCCCACTTCATCAACAAGAAATCCCTGTGATCGTGTCAATATCACAAAAGTCAATCATGCTATATCACACAAGTACACAACACATCTGTAGAAATACAATCTCAACAGACCAAATAAAAGTTGCAATTCATCCATACAAGAAGAGGGAAAAAAGGCAATAAACTCACAGTTATGAACAAATGTTACCGCATGAACGACAAAACGTCCTAATTGGCATGATGTCCAATGTGAAAGGCATCTATTTGTATACCTACAAAATAAGACAAATCCTAAGATGTTCGCATCTTTATTCTTTGGGGGAGAGCAGGAACGAACATAGAAAAGTCTATTGACACTTTTTTTTTTCCCAGAAGGATAACAAGCTTAGCAGACTAAGAAAATCCAACACATGACAGCAGTCCTAAATATATCACACCATCAAATCATCCGAAATTATTGGCAAGGAAAAATACTATAAAAACTCCACTCCCAGTCACCTGCTCAAGCAAGACATTAGAAACCTACAAAGCAGAACACAACAGTAGTTCAAACAAATGCTTGAATAACTGTCTAAAGCAAATAACTATGTAGAACAAAATCATCTCAAACCTTAAGCAAAAAAAGTTCACTGCCAATGCAGTCAGCAAGCAACCTAATTGATAATCAATTATTCAACCACCCAGAAACAACTGCATGATCATCAAAAACTGTACAAAGAAAACCCCTCCAGTAAAAAACGTAAAAGAATCAACCAATATATTTAGAAAATTCAAACCTCAAAAATCAATTGAAGTCCTAATTCATCAGCCATGCCATCATCACAGAATCAATAGAAGAATTTGCAAGGCCAAAATAGATGTGTAAGAAAACACCAAAAATCTGCAAAACTAAATGCAAGCACAGCAACAGTCAAAACAGCAGCCAACAAGAAATTTCTGATCAAATTTATCAATTACTGTAATCAAATTATACTGAAATGCAATACACATTATTCGTCTCCAGCCTACAACCACCACACTCCCTTGCCAAGGCCCTTAAGGGTGTATAGTATGATTCTCCACTGTATGTTCGAATGCATCATTAATTGAACACCTCCCCCACCCCCACCCCAAAAAAATAAATAAATAAATAAAAATTAAATAAATAAAAAAAAGTCTTTAGCAGTGCAGGAATATTGTAGCCAGAATAATCAGCACTGATAAGAAATCTTAAATCAATTTTCTCTGCAATTAAATATAGCACCTAAACTTTTGGATAAGTAGATTACTGTGACTAAAGATACAATAACAAAGATCCATATAAAAACCTTTAAGAACCCTAAATAGTGGCCTTTCTGAGAAGGCTAAGTATTATACAATCAAATAAAATGCAGATCATCTATAGGGCAAAAACAGGATCAGCTAACAGAAAAAAAAAAAAAATACAAATGCAGAATTAAGGCCCCTTGCTGAAGTCAATCCTGCTCCTCCCGGAGCCACCACCATAGCCTTCTCGTGTAGACCCAGCGCTTGCTTTCATTGTACCTCCACCACCAATTTTGTCCATGGCTTTCTTACCCTTCTTCACTTCAGTCAAAAACTGATCCAAACCGAATGGATCAGCCTCCTCAGCAACCTGCTCAAATTCAACAGGCCTCTCTCTCTTACCACTCTTCTCTGCAGTTCCAGTGAATCCCTTGTCAGGTTTGAACCTCTCTGTGTTCCTAATCTTCTCAAGCTGTTCATCAGCTCCGCCATACATTTCATTATCCATATCTTTCTTCGGCTGGTATAGAGTGGAAAGTGTAGCTTGGGCGGTAAATAAGCCCTTGTCATATACATTGTACTGGTCATCAGCAGCGAAACCAGATTCCATCCCCTTCTCTTGGTTGAACAATCGCTGATCATACATGACTTCACCTCTTCCAGACCCAACGGACGCCATACCAAGAGCAACCTTCTCACTAATATCACGATCCCTATCTCTTGTAATCTTACTCTTCTTTCCCGTTGCAGCATCTTTGGCCTCCAACCTTCTCTCCCTTTCCCTCTCTCGTCGCCGCTCCTCACGAATTTTCTCACGCCCCAACCTCTCCTCCCTCTCCTCTTTCGCCTCCCTTGTAGCTTCCCTCTCTCCTCTGCCAACATAATCAGATCTCATGTCATCATCGTCCATATCCATATTTCTAGCAGATGGAGCAGGTGCAGCCACAGGAGCTGCAATACCAGTCCTCTCAGAACGTGCCTTAGCAGCCAAAGCACGCAGCTCCAGCTCCTTCTTTTCCTTTTCCTTCATCGCCATCTCCTTTTGCACCTTCGATCTCATTGCAACAGCTTCTCTAGCCTTCTGCTCTGCAACATACAGAGATTCAGAAAGCTTTGCAAAATTGTCATTGATCTGAACGTCTTGAAGGCCCCTTCCATCAGCTGCAAGCCGCTTATCCAATGGAATGGTGTAACCCTTAGGATTCTTCCAGTTCGAAATACAAGGTGGAATCTTCCAGTCCTGCTGATCTTTCACTGTCACAGGACGAGGTGGTGAATGCATGACCGGCACAGGCGGTGACCCTGAGGCCCTGGGAACCCTCTTATGCTTGAACTTGGGAGGTTCAAGAGGGTCCACCGGCATCTCTACCA